ATGGAAATAGAGTTACCGGTAAGTCCTAACTCTGAATATCTATATCTATTGATCTATAGATATATCTATAGATCTATAGATATATCTATAGATCTATAGATATATATACACATATACTATATTAACAAAAGTATTGAGACGCCTGCCTTTACACGCACATGAAGTTTAATGGCATCCCAGTCTTACTCTGTAGGTTCAATATTGAGTTGGCCCACCCTTTGCAGCTATAACTGCTTCAACTCTTCTGGGAAGGCGTCCACAAGGTTTAGGAGTGTGTCTATGGGAATGTTTGACCATTCTTCCAGAAGCGCATTTGTGAGGTCAGGTACTGTTGTTGGACGAGAATGCCGGGCTCGCAGTCTCCGCTCTAATTCATCCCAAAGGTGTTCTACTGGGTTGAGGTCAGGACTCTGTGCCGGCCAGTCAAGTTCCTCCACCCCAAACTCACTCATCCATGTCTTTATGGACCTTGCTTTGTGCACTGGTGCGCAGTCATGTTGGAACACTGGTGCGCAGTCATGTTGGAACTGTTCCCACAAAGTTGGGAGCATGAAATTGTCTAAAATGTCTTGGTATGCTGATACCTTAAGAGTTCCCTTTACTAGAACTAAGGGGCCAAGCCCAACCCCTGAAAAACAACCCCACACCATAATCCCCCCTCCACCAAACTTTACACTTGGCACAATGCAGTCAGGCAAATACCATTCTCCTGGCAACCGCCAGACACATCCATCGGATTGCCAGACAGAGAAGCGTGATTCGTCACTCCAACATGGAAACCCATTGCATGAAGGTCTCTACACACTGTTGTTGTGCCAATCTGACGTTTGGATGTCTGTAGCTATTGACTCTGCAGACAGCTGGCGACTTCTGCACACTGTGCACTTCAGCATGCGCTGACCCCGCTCTATCATTTTACGTGGCCTACCACTTCGTGGCTGAGTTGTTGTTGTTCCCAGTTGCTTCCACTTTGTTATAATATCACTAATAGGTGACCGTGGAATATTTAGTAGCAAGGAAATTTCATGGATGAACTTATTGCACAGGTGGCAACCCATCACGGTACCACGCTTGAATTCACTGAGCTCCTGACAGCAATCAATTGTTTCACAAATGTTTGTAGAAGCAGTCTGCCTGCCTAGGTGCTTGATTTTATATACCTGTGGCCATGGAGGTGATTGGAAAACCTGAATCCAATGATTTGAAGGGGTATCCTAATACTTTTGGCAATATAGTGTGTGTGTGTGTGTGTGTGTGTGTGTGTGTGTGTGTGTATATTACTGAAATGCACACCAACATTCCATAGGTCAGTATACAAACACTTATTGGATAATGGGAACTTTAATGGAGTGACAAAAAAAAATGGAGGAAGCCATTAAGTTATATAGCCCAACAGATTGTACCCATTACTGAAGTATCAATTTTAGGTGGACTGAAGAGTTTATATAGTATAGGATGGAAACAGTATTGGAGCAAAGTACTGCCAAAAATAATTTGATCAACTATTGTAGAGTAGTGCTGATTGACCAGATGACCAGATGAAGCACAAGGAAAGATAAATGGTCGCAACAGAGAAACAGAAACATAATGACGCAGGAGGCATAATATGCTCTTGATTAACTAATTTTTACAAGGGTATGGTATTGAAATCTAGGTGTAAGATACACCTACCATGGTGGATGTAAGCAAAAATTTTAACTTCTGTAAATCAAAATAAGATATTGGTATACAGCAGCGGTTATTATTGGCGGGCCAAGTGGCGCTTCTCTCTGGACCGCGATCGCTGACCTGTGCTGGGTTATGGCTGACTGACAGTGGCTAGACCGGCCTCTGGGGCCAGTGTTTCCACTGCCAGCCATAATGCGGCACAGGTCCCCCTCTGCTTCAGTCATTGGGCGCTAGGACTGCTGGCTTCCTAGCAACCAATGACATCAGGCAGGCAGGACCCGCTGCTACAACTATAAGTGATCTAGGTGGCTGTACAGCCCCCCTTTCCTGCTCCCCCGCTATTGCTTTTGGGTCCCACACTCCTCTGGGAGGTCCAGGACCACAGCACACAGTGTCAGGATGGAGAGTGGAAGCAGACTGGGGAACGTCCATTCACCGATCTGCTCCATGATCATGCTTCAGCTGTCAGAAGCAGGCTGAAGTGCTGGGCATACAGACTATCAAGCACATTCCTATGCTTTATGATCTATATAGGAATTGACCCCGATGTCTCCATAAAGAGAAGCTGTTAACTCCAAATGTTGTCACAAAAGGGGCTTGCTGTCCCCTTTAATTTAAGTTAAAAAAATATAAGAAAAAAGTTGTAGCGCCCTCTGCTATGTTGCTACTAAATTTAGTTTTATACCTGGACTGTAATCAGTCTGGATGCTGATTTCTCTAAGTTCTGCGGGATTCCCTGGGTTTGGTGGATTGATGGTTTCCCCTGTTGCTGGGTTGGGGCCTTAGCATACAGTGAGGGAGGATCCATCCTCAGACTGTGATTATGCATCTGACTCTGACCAATCCCTGAGCAGGCTGACTCAGAGGTATGGCTGGAGGAAGGTGATAAATGTTTGGGGACACTTTCCGGAACTCTCTCTATCCCCTGGGCCCCTCCCTGGCAGGAGGTCTGTGTGCTACAGGATGACTGGCCTAGGCCTCAGCATGTGGCAGATGTTGGGGGCCTAGAGGCCTAAGATACTACAGGATGCCTGGTCTAAGCCTCAGCATGGGGCAGATGCTGGGGGCCCAGAGACCTTAAATACTACTGGAAAGGAACCTGATGGAAGCTGGGCTGGAGGTGGAATCTGCTTATGGAAGAGCGTTGCAGAGGAGCTGGTGAGAGCTACCGTCTGGACCCTGTAAGAGATCCCTCACCCTAATATCAGGTACTATACAGAAGGGAAGGCAATTGATGCACTACAAGTCTTGTGACAGTGCTCTCTCAGAGTCCTGGACATTCAGGGCCGGCCTTAGGCCTTTAGGCGCCCTGTGCGAGAAAGCTTTACAGCGCCCCTCAGTGACATTTTCTGGTTGTTGGTGCTATTACTTATTGCTGGTCGCTCATATAGGGCCTTGTGCTACTGTTACAAGCTGTTGCTAAGAAAGAATACATAGTCCTCTATTTTTGATTACTTGGGTATCCTGCAACCCTAACCCTCTCCCTCTCTACTAGTTGCTAATGTGCAATAAATGCTAAAAAGACTCGAGCCTGTTCTATTCTGGAGTGTCGGTGTTGCTGGAGCTGAGAAAATGGGCTGGTGGCTATCGAAACATGTAGGAGAGCCCTAGTTCATATTCAGCGGCTCCTTCGGGGGGTGAGGGATACAAAGTGATAAAAAAAAAGTAATAATAATAAAATAAAAAACATTTAAAACCAACTCTGCCACCCCTCCCATCTGATTCTGAAGAACGTGTGCATAAGATATGCACGTGTATGTAAATGGGCGATAAATTAAACACTGTGATGCGCCACGATCGGCACATTAGCACTGTGCCTGGGAAGACACACCAGCAGCTGGGCATTGCAGTGCAGCTGCTCATGTGAATGCAGCCTAAATGGCAGCCTCAATGAACACAGATACAACATATTCTGTACAGACCACGATTGGAACCTCGGCTTGATGAAAATTGTATTCACTGGACCTTATTGAATTCTAATTCACTACCCCGTGTATACATTGAGTAATCACTCAGCCTCATAGTTCGAGCCGACCTGTGACAATGAAACTGTCACAGGTCGGCTCAATAGTGCGGCAAGTGAGCGAACACATACCGTCAGATGGGGGAGGGGGGAGGGGGGGGGGTCGTACAGCTGGCTCTGCCTCTAGATAGGCAGTGCCAGCTGTCACTCACAAAGCTGGGTGGATATAGACAAAAATGTCGGGATCCATCCCGGCTGCGGCGTCTCAGTATACCGCTGAGTATACCGCTGTCACAGAAGCTGCAGTTAGTGACCGCTGAGACAGGTGTCACTATGTCTCACCTGTCTCGGTAATCACACAGAGCAGAAGAAGAAAGACGTTCTTCGTCTGCTCAAGGGGCTCTATGGTGAGCTCCTATGGGGGACCGCGACGGGTCAAGCTCCCCCAGAGGAGCGGGGGACCCTGAAAACCACGGCAGGGGCGGACACGGCCGCCGCTCGATTTAATACAAGGGATCTAGTTAGATCCCTTGTATTAAACGAGCAGCGGCTCCCACTGTACATTCAGCTCTGCTTGTCAGGATATACACAAAGAGAGTTCTTTAAAGAGAAAGTGGGGTTTTAAAGGCACCGGATGAATGACAACTCCAAACAAGAAAAATATATCAAAAATATATTTTTATTTTATATAAATCTTAAAAAGAAAGGCTTAAAGCCAGCAATAAAAGTTATTTAACTAAATAGATAGTCCCTACACAGCTCTTTCCACATAACACAGTACCTCTTCATTAACAAGTCAACATGATTCACCCTATGTTCTTATATACACATGATTTGGGACTGCAGTGCCAATGACCAGATGAACATACTGACATATAGAGAGGCCTGTGACAAATTTGTTCATAGGGCTATGGGGTGCAATATTGTTCTTCGCTATTACTGCTTTGGGAACAAAGTGTGGCCCTAAGAACAGAAATGATTTAATTGGTGGTGGAGAGCATCTAAGCAAGCATAGTAAAGTATAGAAACCAGTGTTGATTCAGATGGGAATCCACATGCTATCTCATCCCAAGTGATGGGTTTGATGTCTTTGTCGACAGTAATGCTTAGTCTTGTGTCCACTATGTATAGGTGTTTAATTCTGTGGGTAGTGCTTGAGGGGTTGGGAGGTGGAGCAGATATGTTCTCCACTGATGCCAACCCACAAGCGGCTTGTGGCCACTTTAAGAAAACATACCAAGGTATTCACAATGATTATCGGAGATCACATAGTTTGGGACCCATGATTAAGGCATATTGCAGATGGTCATGATTATATCGAAGAACAGTGCAGTTCACCATTAGATTACAAGCATATATAATACTTAAGTTAATTCATTATGTGATGATAACAAAAAAAAATTCATAAATAAAAAAAAAATACTATAATACAAAGGAAATGTATGGTCTATGGTGAGCAGGTTGGATAATCCTGCCCTGCACCCAGTTTAACTACCATGATAGACTGTATGTTGGATTAATATAATCACAAAATCGTGATAGTGCTTGTGAAGCTCAATCAAGTAGTAGGACCAGAATGATGACAACAATTTCCCACTATGTCATGGTGTCGAGGGCCTAGGTAGTGATCATGTAGTCGATGGTAACTGCTAATGAAGGGTAGGGGTGGGGAAGAGCAGCTTCAACGTTTCGCGCAACTCTGCGCTTCTTCAGGAGTGGAAGGGAGATATCTGCATAGTGTAGAAAAAACATTA